CTAACCTACTATATATATATATATATATTAACGAATATGAAAACATCGTTAATTTCGGCCATCTTCATTCAGGTACAGTGAGGAGAAAAGGTAAAATAATGATTTGTACTACATGCTAAAATTTCCTCATTAGCCAACACAACACAGTACCGATAATTTAATAAAAATATTACACCTACAAAAATTACAGTACTCGTTGCATGTAAAAAACAACACATTAATAATAAAATGAAAAGCAAAACATTCATATTTAGATTGTTTGTTCCCTCTTGAAGTTAACTATTTCGAGTAAAGCAAAAACATAAATTATAGTCATTGCCATCTAGCGACTCAAATCTGAAGTAAATTCGAGCAAAAATATTTACGTATTGATGCAAATTACAAGATGAATTCGTTGAAACTGTAATCTCAGAAAACAAAAACGTCATAAAGTATACGTGGCAGCTGTTTAGTAGTTAATAATAGACAAGGCTATCTAGAAGTAAGTAAAATAAAGATACAGTTTGTAAAAATAAGATATTTATACATACTGTCAGACTAATGTACATGGCGTTCTTGAGTAAGAAAATAATCTTGTGTCAACTGTTCGAAAGCCTGTAAAAAAAGAAAAAAAAATATTATATATACACACGCACACTTGCGAATCCGTGGGTCTATGGCCGACATTTACAGGGCCGTTATAATGTAAATTTAATTTCTTTAACCAAATTACGAATGGTAATTACTAGGTCCACTTATTTACGTACTATAATGTGAATCAATACCAAATTTTGGGCCCCCTTTCGGGATAAAAGTGTTTTCGCGAAATATCTGGGTTCCTTAAGGTGTTGAGTAAAAACTTTTGCCTTTGTGCAAATATCGGGGCCGAGACGGTTCATTTGGCCCCATTAGGAGTTGGTGAGTCCAGCAGTTTAGGAGAAAGGTTTTTCGGAAAATCCCCTGGTTCCCCAAGAGGTGGGGTGAAAAATTTTACCTTTGTACAAACCTCGGGACCGAGACAATTCGTTTAGAATCATTTAGAAGTCTGTGCAACCAGCGGTTTAGGAGGAGTTACGTGACACACACTCATGGTAGGTATATTTACATTCAAAAAAGGTATGGAACTCATCAACAAATAAGTCATTTTATTCCCACCAGGAGGTAGTAAGTGATGTAAAAATATGTACACCGTTTTCACAGAAAAGGGATCATAATTAACTGTTTAACTAAATGTTTTTTTCTACTATCAAGATGAAAAAACCTACGTGTGACAAGATTACCTAGACTTTTGTTGTTATTTTTTCGACATTACACCTGTAATACAGGCATGGCGCCAGAGTTTTTTGTAGCACTTCTGTAGACTTATTGTGGACCCCCTTAAATTTTAGTTCAGTTTTATAGTAAATTATAAAGAATATATTACAGAAAAAGTACAGAACTGAATAAAAACATTGCTTTTTTTTTCAAGATGACTTCTTGTCTTTGGGGTCTGGATTAAGTGCACGCATCTCCTAGCGTCGTTACTACCGTATATATATATATATATAATATATAAGTAGATGTTGCAGAGTGTGGGGGTTTGTGTTATAACCCTTTAAGTGCACGCATCTCCTAGCGTCGTTACTACCGTATATATTAATATATAAGTAGATGTTGCAGAGTGTGGGGGGTTTGTGCTATAACCCTTTAAGTGCACGCATCTCCTAGCGTCGTTACTACCGTATATATATATAAGTAGATGTTGCAGAGTGTGGGGGTTTGTGCCATAACCCTTTAAGTGCAAATATCACGGACTTGGAAAACGGAACATATGTTAATTTACTTCCTACTTCCTCCTAGTTGAGACACACTTGTCTTTACCTCCTGTTCAAGTTTGAGGCTTGAGAAATATAACGTTTTTTGGTGATTGTTAATAGGTGGCGCGACTTGTCTAAGGTGTCATTTTTGCGATCACCTTTCAACATGCACACATCATTTCTGTTATAGCCTTTCAACTAGTTTCATTCAAGACCGCTAAGTGTATACGAAATAAATAACACATTTTTCAAAGCACAAAGCTACAAAATGGGCTATCTGTGGTGTGCCCACCAAGGGTATCTAAGCTCGGATTTTAGCGTTATAAGTCTTTAGACTTACCGCTGAGCCATTAAGGGACTAACGAATTTCTGAAATTGACATCGCTGAACTAGTTGCAAAATACCAATCATAATTGTAACTATACACGAATTTCAACCCTCAGTTAGTCGCGTGAGGTCATTATGACCCTATGCAATTTCTTTAATTAATTATTACGTGATAGATGGCACTTTACTTAGCCCCACCCACAGTAGCTTCCTTAATTGTATGTCTGTCCATGTTGCAATCGTAATCAGTTCTGCAGTTTTAGGTTTTTGCAAAATTTGAGATTGAGGTCATATTTACCCCACGTGACTACTTGGGTTATAATTTTTTGAAAGGTCGGTTTGTTTCATGTGACTTTAATTTACTTGATTTTATGTATTTTTTCTTAGTTTGTGGCTAAAAGTTGTTTTTTTATTCTATATTTCTTCTTTTCTGGCATTTATCTGTTAATCGTTTGGTTTAGATGATATCCAATTATTTCTTGTACATCTTCATATTGCCAATTTGGCTTTCATTTTTATACAGGTGGCTAGATAAGAGACTTACCACCACTGCAATACGTTTTAATTTCATTATTCTATTTTGTAAGAGTTTGAGCCTCATAATAATTTAAATACAGCATCGGGGTCATAATGACCCCAGGCGACAACGTACCGTATTTGCCCGAATATAATGCGCATCCAATTTTTGAAAGGTAAAATTTAATTTTGTTTTTTATACAACAGTTGTACAACATATATAGTATTGTACGTACAATACGTATAGTTTCTAAATACAGTAAACAATTATCAATGCATTAAACATTTTTGTAAATCTTTCATTGAATTTGTTTTAGTGTCAATTTTACAAAATTTATTGAA